AGACTACGGTGAAGAGATAATGTATTAGGAGACCTTAAAGCTATGGGCGTGGAAAATTGGATGGAAATTGCTCAAGATAGAGACGATTGAAGGGATGTTGACAAGTCAGCTAAAACTAACGAAGGGTTGTAGCGTCACAGAATAAGTAAGTAATTAGTCATCTTGTTTCCAAACAGGTATTTTAGGAACCCAATCAAATCTTGAAGTCCCACACCGACAAACCGGTCTGTTTCAAGGATTCTGGGGGAGGCAAACATTCGACTAAACTAAACATAGGAACATATAACATCAGATCCATGAATGATGATACTATACTTCACGAATTAGAAGAAGAACTAAATAATATACAATGGGATGTCATTGGTCTGTCAGAGATAAGAAGAAAAGGTGAACAAAAAGTACTATTAAACTCAGGAAACATGCTGTACTACAAAGGCAATGAGATAACTCTAACAACGGAGTTGGTTTTATAATAAACAAGAAAGTCGTCAAATACATACAATCCACCAAAGGTATATCAGACAGAGTAGCCTACATTATGCTTAAATTAAAAAGAACGTCTTTGAAAATTATACAGGTATACGCGCCAACAAGTTCGTACACAGATGAAGACATTGAAAACTTCTACGAAGAACTAACACTCGCTATGGACGAAAAGAAAACTAAATTGACGCTAATAATTGGAGACTTTAATGCCAAATTAGGGAGAAGAATAGATGGAGAAGAACACAGAATTTGAGAGTATGGATATGGCGAAAGAAATAATAGAGGACACACATTAATGAACTACTTGAAGGAGAGACAACTTTTTGCTATGACCTCGTTTTTTAACAAAAAACCACAAAGAAAATGGACATGGATAAGTCCCAACGGTAACACAAAAAACGCAATAGATTACATCCTTACAACACAAAAAACTCTCATCAAAGATGTTACAGTACTGAACCGCTTCTCAACCGGTAGCGATCATAGACTTGTCAGAGCCAAACTCAGGATTAATAGCCAATTCGAAACAAAAAAGAAAATGGAAAATGTATCGAAACTAGATATGGAAAAACTTAAGCAATTAAAAGACGAGTATAAACAAAAAATAAGGGAAAGTATACCGGTTACCAGAGATTTGGAAAACAAAAACATCGATGAAATAAATCAGCTATTAACCGATACATTAGCAAAGGCGGGAAAAGAGGTAGCACAAACAAGAATAAAAAAGGAAAACTATATGTCCCAGGAAACCAAAAATGTCATGAGTAAAAGAAAAACATTACTGGAACAATATAAGAGAAACACAATAGATTACAAAGAGGTAAACAAAGCTATCAGAAGGAATATCAAGGAATATAAAAGGAGCGTACAGGAAGAAAAAATAGAAAAATCAATTAAACAAAATAAAAACATGAAGTGCTTAAAACCACAGCTGGGAACCATACAAATTAATGGTATAAAGAACAAAGAAGGTACAGAGACCAATGATATAGAAGAAATCATACAGATAACACAAGAATATTATAAAAACCTCCACAATACAAAACAGAAACCTACCCAAGAAATCCTTAAGCAACTACAAATAAAAATAAAAAATGTTAATTTCGACTTACAACCAGAAATCAGATGAAGAGATGAAGAATAATAAATCGCCAGGAAAAGACGGGGTGATTGTAGAAATGCTAAAACATGGTGGGAAAACAACTAGAGAAGTTTTGTACATACTTATGAATAAAATAGTAATGACAAAACAAATACCCAACGGTTGGAACGAAGCAATAACACTGTTACTATTTAAGAAAGGAGATAAAAAGGATCTAAAGAATTACAGACACATAACTTTACTAAATGCGATGTACAAACTATTAACCAAAATATTAACAAATAGATTAACAACTAAATTAGATGGATACCAGGCAAGAGAACAAGCCGGATTTAGAAAGAGCTTCAGTACAAGTGACCACCTTTTAACGATGAAGATTTTAATCGAAAAAACTAACGAATATCATATCCCGCTATACATGGCATTTATTGACTTCGAGAAGACATTTGATAGTGTGGAACACTGGGCAGTACAGAATTCCCTACAAAACAGCAGAATAGACTACCAATATACCGACTTAATTACAAATATACAGATTTGGAAAAAAAACTTACGGAACATAGGATTTTTAATACAGCTCAAATCCTTTGATGTGCAATTAACCAGTGTAAATTTCAATACAACGTCGCGATGTTTTATAATTAATTCATTTGTTCGACTGGAGTCTCAATTCACGAAGCGATGCTGCCAGTGTAAGTGTAAAAACGGAACACACCTAGAACGCATGTCAATTCAACGAAAACGTTATAAATGTAGATATTAAAATATTTTATAACTAAAAAAATGGTTATGTTTTATTGCCAAAACGGTTTGAAAAAAAGTTGATTTCTAAAATTAAAAATAAAAAGGAATTTTAAAATTAAAATAATTATATTACACTCTTTTTAATTTGAAATTATAAACAATATTTGGAATAATAAATGTATTTAAGTATAAATTTTATAACTCAAATAATAGCTAATGAACACAGACAAAATTGATGTTAATAAAACATTATTTATTATCTGCACAAAACCGGACTTTCAGGAAAAATCGGTAGACGGAGCAACACTGTCGGTGTGCCATATACGCTACTACAATCCGCTGAGGAGAAGTAATCCAGTGGAACAAATAAATTAGTTATAAAACATCGCGACGTTATAAAGAAATTTACACTGGTTAATTGTAACGCAGAGAATCTTAGTATTTGTATTAAAAATCCTATGTTCCGGATTTAAAATTCCAAATCTGTATACAACAGGCAACAACAACTATTAAGCTAATGAAACAAACTCAGCCTATTAAAATAAACCGAGGAGTGAGACAAGGAGATACCATCTCGCCCAAGCTATTCAACCAAGCGCTAGAAGATGTTTTCAAACGACTACACTGGGATGGCTTGGGAATTAACATAAACGGGCAAAATCTGAATCATTTACGATATGCTGATGATATTGTATTATTAACAGAAAAAAGTGAAGAATTACAAAGAATAATTGAAGAACTAGATAGATAATCGACAAAAATTGGACTCAAGATGAATTAAAGTAAAACAAAAACCATGACTAATCAACCAGAAGAACTCATAATTACAGTGGCACAAACAAGAATAGAACAAGTAAAAGAGTATATATATCTAGGCCAAATCACTAAATTAAATAAATAAAATCAGACCGAAGAAATAAAGAGAAGAATAAGATTGGCCTGGGCATCATTCGGAAAACTGTCTTATATTCTAAAGAATTTAAAATACCCCCCAATACCTAAAAAAGAGAGTCTTCAATCAATGTATACTCCCTGTCCTCACATATGGCTCTCAGACATGGACGTTTACAAAGGAAAATATGGAAAAAATAGCAAAGACAGAAAGATCCATGAAAAGGCAAATGCTGAACATTAAACTATCAGACAGAAACAGAAACGAATGGATCCGTAATAAAACAAAAGTGACAGATGTCTCAACCCAAGTAGCAAAGCTTAAATGGACGTTCGCCGGACACACCCTAAGGCAGAAAGATAAAAGATGGACTAAGACAATTATACATTGGAGACCATGGAATCACAAACGAAAAAGGGGAAGGCTACAAATGCGATGGTCAGATGACCTGAAGAAACAAATTGCCCAAGATAGAAGGGCATGGAAGAAGGAGGAGGAGGCCTATATGGTGAGACGCCAAGATCTCGAAAAATTTTCCACATTTTATGTCAATAATTTACGCAGTCGAATGCTTTTAAATAATAATTTGTATAATACAAATGTATAACGAAATTTAAATATTGGTTTTCGTACATTTTTGGCCAACTTAATTTGATAACTTGCTAATAAAATATTCTCAAAGAATTATAAAATGTTATTCCAAACAGTTTCAGACAAAACATGTTGTTAGTCCCACACCCATCTCGTATTCTACCGAGTTGTTACTGCAGCATTTGCAGATGTAAAAGAGAACTTAGGAGTTGGCACAGCCTGTACGGTCGCAGCAGTAGGAACGTACATTGAGAATACAGGATTGGATGTCTCACGGAGCGTCCCATAACGGAGGAATCATAACCGTAGGTGTGATATTTAATAATTTATTTATATAATAAATATATTGCTACATAATAAAGTTAATATATGGTTTTTAATAAAAATTCAAAGACAATAAACAATAATATTTTACTTTGTTACACTTATCGAGTATGTCCTACTAAGAGGCTAGATCAAGTGTTAAAATAATTGTTTTTCTCGATAAAATTGTACATGGTATCCACAAACGCTCTTTGCAAAACAAAACCAGAAATTTTGGAACTTATTTTATGTCGATTTAACATAAAGCATCATCATCATCATTCTGGCTTTACAACACGTCGTGGATTTCGCTCCAGTTATTGCTATCCATAGCCCTCCTCGTGCCTCCAAGCACGTATTCACATATTTCTTATACCTTCATCGATGTTATCAAGGAATTTTGTTCTGGGTTTTCCTCTTCTTCACTTACGAATGGTTCTATCAAAGAGCGTTTTTCTAGTTGAGTCATTTTGTTCCATCCGCATTATACATAACCAAACTTATATGGAACTATTTGATATTTCTTATTCATCATCATCAGTAGCTTGACAAGCCTTTCTGGGACCTGGCTTGTTTTAGGATTTTTCGTCATTCTGTTCTGTTTAGTGCTTTGTTTTTCCAGTTGGTAATCTTAAGTGTTTTCAGGTCTTGTTCCACTTGTTCCATGTATCTCAGTTTGGGTCTTCCCTTTGATCTTCTCCCTGCTGGTGTTTGCCTTATTATATGTTTTGGTGTTTCAGTCTCCAACATCCGTTCAACATGGCCCATCCAGCGCAGACGTCCGATCTTTATGGATGTTATGATCTCGGGTTCATTTTATGCTGTGAAAAGTTCAAAGTTATATCTTCTGCGCCATATGTCATTTTTCTTTACTTCCTTATATATGTGTCTAAAGATTTTTCGTTGAAATGTACCTAATAGGTTCTCATCGCTTTTCGACAATGTCCATGTCTCTGATCCATATACCAGGACCGGTTTTATCAGGATCTTGTATATTTTGCATTTGGTTTTTCTTGTGATGTTGTTAGATCTTAGATGTTTAATGAGTCCATTATATGTTTTATTAGCGATATGTATTCTTCTCTTAACTTCTTCACTGACATTGTTATCTGCAGTAACTAGTGAACCTAGATATCTAAAAATTTTCACACTTTTGATGTTATAGTCTCTTATTGTCAGATTCTGTAGGTTTTTTTGGCCTGTCGATTTACTGGCTCTTATGTATTTGGTTTTTATTTCGATGTTTCTTCTTCTTATGGTGCTCTATCCAATTAGTGGATGTTGGCGACAATTCTGGAATACTCCTCTCCTAATAATGTTTAGGCCACTGTTTTGTGCCTCTCTTTCTATCGCATTAAATGCTTCTATCATCTATCTTTTTCTTCTAGCTATGATATGAACATCATCTGCAAATGCCAATATTTGTACACTTTTTGTTATTATTGTTCCTCTGGTGTTGATTTTTGACTCCCTAATTGTGTTCTCTAATGTGATGTTGAATAGAGTACAGGATAGGGCATCTCCCTGTCGTAGGCCCGTTCTCACATGGATTGTATCAGAAATTGTAATTGTAATTGTAAACTCTTTCAGTGCATGGATCAGAAATTCTCAATGGATGCTATTATAGGCACTCTCAAAGTCAATGAAAAGATGATGTGTGTCTATATTAAATTCACTAGACTTTTCCAAGATTTGCCCCAAGACGAAGATCTGATGTATTCTGAACTTCTGCCTGTGGAAACCACATTGATATCTCCCAACTATTATTTGTTCCGCATATGGTCTTAATCGGCCATACACAATATTTGACAGAATTTTGTATGCCACAGTCAGTAGCGTTATTGCCCGGTAGTTTTTACATTCAAGCTGATCTCCCTTTTTATGTAGTGAGATAATTACTTCGGTATTCCAGTCTTGTGGCAGTTGTTTATTATTGCATATGTTCATTATTAGTTCGTATATTGCATTCAATAAGGAGTCTCCACTTTTCTTTATTAATTCTGCGCTAATGTTGTCTAATCCAGGTTACTGGTTGTTTTTCAGTCTGCATTTCAGCTACTGAAGGGGGGTTGTTTCTCTGGTATCCATTAGATCCAGTATAATTCCATCATATAGTGGATCTTCGTTTTTTTCAAACTTTTCTTTGAAGAATTCTATCCATCTTTGTAGTATTTCGCTCTGTTGAGTTACCATATCTCCTTCTTTGTCTCTACACATCATTGTTCTTGGTTTAAATTCTTATCTGCTTTTGTTAAGTTTTTGGTAGATTTTTTTGGTTTCTGAAGGTTTATTTAGTTCTTCCATTTCTTGGAGTTCTTTTTCTATGTGTTCTCCTTTCTTTCTGCGATGTATTTTTTTCTCTTCCCTCCTTAGCATTCTATATTCTTCCTCTGCCTTTCGTATTCTATGTCGTTGATATTTCTTAAACCAACATACGAAGTCAAACAAAATTTATTATTAGGTAATTTAATCAACAACACACACACAAATTAAAAAATACGATAAACTCTTGAAAGAACAAATTGAAACTATTTCTTTTAAAGTCAATAGCATACAATTTTTTAATGTAATCATTTGTAATCTTTAAATTGTTTTAATTTATTTATGTTCTTTTAGTAGTCAGTGGTACCTAGCCCTTCTGCAAGCTTCAATTCGCGTGGTCATGCTCCAAAAGAAATTGTCTACATGTTATTGTGGTGGGTTATTCCATTCTTCAAAAGCAGCTTGTATTCGTTTTGCAGTGTTTTGAGGATTATCCCGACGAGCTCTAATTCTTCTTTTAAGCCTATCCTTCAAATGATCTATGGAGTTAGGATCGGGTGAGCAAGCAGACTACTCTAAAACAGTAATATCTTCTGTTTCAAGGAAATATATGGTCACTCTGCTGTTATGTGGAGGTGCATTATCATACAATAAATTTAGATTTTCTCCCATTGCATCTCCCAGAAGCCTAACTACAGATTCTAGAACCAAATTAACATACGTGCAAGTTGTTAAAAGTTAGTTGAATAGAAATTAAAGGAGTTTATTTACCGATCATGATGCCTCTCCAGAACATGACACTTTATCCTTTATATATGTAAGAAGATCTGGCAGTTTCCATTCTTGCTGGTCTTTATCGTCCTCCAAATACACGAATTCGTCGGTCATCAGATTTTATACAAATCCTGATTTTGTCACTGATTTATATATACTGCTGTATAATCTTGAACCACGACGTTTTTTTCTAATCGTTTCAACTAAAATACTTACAGCTGTAGCTTTCAAAAGTTGCCTTTGGAGCTGTGGGTGAGAAATTATTGGGTCTCTCTTCTAGCTATTTGGAAAATAAAATAATCATGGCGAGCCATTGTTCCTTTTGGCGACTTTTACTTGTATACTATACCTAGCATAGGTTTTAGACACAACGCCATGTGTTACGCCTACCACTGCTAATTCCCCCTGAGACATTTCTTGCTCCACAAGCCCAATAATCTTTCTTCTTTGCACATCCTATCATATGTTTTACGATATATGATTCCTGGTATATGCTATAAAGTACGAAGTTGTATTGTCTTCTTCAGACTCCACTGTCATTCACCTTGTCCAAAAATTTGCCTTAGTACTTTTCTTATAATACATCCTAACAAATTACTTTATGTTAGAGCCCACATCTCTGCACCACATATTAGGACTCGGAATATTATTGTTTTGTAGAGTTTTACCTTTGCATTTCTCAATAATATGGAGGATTTAGGCCATGAAGATCTGTTGACCATGCAAATTCTGCGGTTTATTTCTGCGGTAGTATTATTTTTAGTGTTAACGAGTCCTCCCAGGTATAAAAATTCATTAACTGCTTCGATGATGTTGCGTGCTTGGTTTCATGTACTTCGTTTTGTTGGTATTTATTATTATGGTATTTCTTTAAAAAGAAAAAACACAGAAGATGGACATGGGAAAGTCCTGATGGAAAAACAAGGAACGAAATCGACTATTTCTTTACAAACAAAAAAGAATTATTTAAAGACGTGAATGTGCTAAACCAGTTCAGTAAAAGCAGTAATCACAGGTTAGTAAGAGCTAAAATAACGATATCAACCGAAAAAGAAAGACTCAAAATGATAAATATGAAACAACCAAAGAACTGGACAAAACCAACTAACATTCAGGAGTTCGAAAAATATATTGGTAATTCATTGAAAGATACAACAACAGCAGACATCAATATATTGAACAAACAACGAGTCAACCCACGAAAACCTTTATAGAACTAAGGCGACAAATGAAAGGAGATAACAGTACAAGCAAAGAAGCGATAAATCAAATAAATAAGACGATCACAAAGGCAATAAGAAAAGACATAAGAAACTACAATATAGAAAAAACAAAAAAGGCAATAGAGCAAAATAAGAACATGAAAGTTTTGAAGAGGAGCGTACAAAAGTGGAAAATAGAAATTAACAAACTGAGTAACAGAACTGGAGAAGAAACAACGAACAGAGATGAAATATTAAGAATAGTCGAAGAGTTCTACACACAGTTATATAGATCTATAAAAAAAAGATAACAATACGGAACCTCCAATTACACTAAAAACTGGGGTATTAAACCAAGGATCAGATTTAATGCCCGATATAACAAAATCAGAAATCAAAGAAGCCCTGAAGAAAATGAAAAATAATCGAACCCCGGGTGAAGATGGAATAGTATCAGAAGCACTTAAAATTGGAGGTGATGTATTAATTGAAAAAATTAAACAACTTTTCAATATCTGCCTTCACAGCGCCAATATTCCAACAGACTGGAACAACGCTACTATGATTCTATTACACAAAGCAGGAGACAAAGCAAATTTAGAGAATTATAGACCGATTAGCCTCATCAGCCATATATACAAGTTGTTTACGCGAATACTAGCTAAGAGAATGAAAAGAAAATTAGAGACTTATCAACCAAGGGAACAAGCAGGATTCCGAAAAAGTTACGGAACAAATGACCATCTACAAAGTATAAAAACCCTAATAGAGAAAGCACTGGAATACAATAAACCTCTAGTTCTAATATTTATCGATTTTCACAAAGCCTTTGACGTAGTTGAACTACGCAAAATATTACAGGCGCTTAAAAAATGCAGGCTAGATTATAGATATACTAAATTATTATACAAAATATACCTGCAGGCAACAACCACTGTCAGATTACATACTAACAGTAATCGCATAAAAATAGAACGGGGGGTTAGACAAGGAGACCCAATGTCACCTAAACCTTTTAATACGGTGCTAGAACATGCTTTTAAGAATTTGGATTGGATGACAAAGGTAATAAAAATAGATGGAGAATATCTAAACAACTTACGTTTCGCCGATGATATACTTATAATAGCTGAAGATCTAGGTATGGCAAGAGAGATGGTACAGGAACTCGTTGTGGCTACAGAAAACGTAGGTTTAAATATAAATATCTCGAAAACAAAAATCATGACCAATTTCGTACCCAACCAGAACATCAGTATTGGTGGGAAAGAAATAGAACTCGTAGATAGATATAAATACCTGGGACATGAAATTATCATTGGCAGGGATAACCAGACTCATGAACTGAAGAGACGAATCGGCCTTGGGTGGGCAGCATTTGGAAAACTGAGAGAAACTTTTAAAAGTGAGCTGCCCACATGCCTAAAGAGAAAGGTTTTGATCAGTGCGTCCTCCCAGTCTTGACGTACGGAGCAGAAACACTTACATTAACAAAAACAGCAGCTACCAAACTGAGAGTCACGCAGAGAAGAATGGAGCTTTCCATGTTAGGAATAACTCTGCGAGACAGAATAACCAACGAAGACATCAAGAGAAGAACCGAAGTGATTGATATCATCGAGAAGATAGCCCGACTAAAATGAAGATGGGCAGGACACATAGCCAGAATGACAGATGGGCGATAGACAAGGAGGTTATTGGAATGGAGACCAAGGGAAGACAAAAGAAGCGTCGGTCGACCACCTACAAGATGGACTGACGATTTAAGAAGACTCAATAAAAACTGAATAAGAGCGGCGCAAGATAGACGGGGTGGGAACATGAGGAAGAGGCCTATGTTCAGCAGTGGACTTTTGAGGCTGGATGATGATGATGATTAATAAACCCATTTTTGTAGTCGATATTAGATGATAAATTAAGGTACTGAAAATATCTTAAAAGAACAATTTAGAAACTCAATGCACAGCCATACGAAACCTAATAGAAAAACATAAAAAATATAAAGTAATAAAAGATAAACAAAGAAACATAATCAAAATTAGGAAAAAAGTGTACTGAGAAAAAATATATGGCAAATAGGAGACATGACCGGTCATAGAATAAAAAACGAACTAAAGAAGCTTAATACTAAAATTGAAGAAATTACAAGAAATGAGTTGGAAATACACAGAAAGCTGACATTATACATATTAACTTGTTACTGAACAATCGATATAAAATCTCCCAGTAATACTAGATAAGAGTAGTAGTATTACTAGATGTATTACTAGATAGTAATACAATGTATTACTATCTAGTAATACATT